TTCCTCAGTTTCTCTGACATGGCGGGTCTCTGCTTTGATTCCTACCTCTCTCTGTTCATTTGTAGTCTTCACTGTGGGCTCATCCTACCAGCCTGGAAACCTTGGGGAAATCTTTCTGAGGTTTTCTCTTGATCCAGTCAGTGCTCCTCTCACTTTGCAGGCCCTCCTTCAGTGATGCTCATGACTCCTGGGTATCTATATCTACAGCTGTGACCCCAGCCTCCAGCAGTATCCCTGCACTTATACACCCTACTACCTACCTGTGGGTCTGTATTCGAGTCTTGCAGCAGTCAGAAACCCAACAAATCAAAAATTGAGATGATCATCCTGTTCTTCTCTCTTTTGCTTCCCTAAACCAACTGTTGTTATAGTATATTCCATATCAGCTGAAGACATGGTCATCTACCTAATCACACAAGCCATAATAGAGGGGTGAAATTTCAGTTCGCCATTTTCCCTCATACTATATCCAGTGTCTCCAAGTTCTGTTGATTTTGCTTTATAAATAACTTCAGTTGGCTCCTTTCTTTTCCTGACTCCTAACACAGCCTCAACTCATACTCAAATGCAGAACTGCAGGTAAGACGTATCTGGACACAACATTCCACACCTCTCTCAACTGTCTAGTATTCAAGAAAATAGGACTCTGGGTCTACTTTGCAGTCCAGACCTGATATGGACCTAGTTACACATAGCCCTGCTTTCCTCTGAGCCTATCAACACTGCCTTATTTAATGTTCACCTAAACTTACCCCAAATCCTATAACTCTGCCTTTCCCTTTGTTTGATGAGATACCCATGGTTCCTCTGGAATGCAGTCTGTCTCATTGCAATGGATCAATAAACCTAATTTTATTCGACTATGGGTATATTCCTGGAAATCTTAGGCAACTGGGCTAGAACAAAAACATACAACATCCATTCTTAATTATTAAATTAATTACTAAAATAGGATAGACAGATGTTATTTGGCCATAATTTTATATACATGTAAACAAAAACTGATATATACCTAATGATGAAGAAACAGAAACATTCCTACTAAACATGAAAAAACTTGATTACTATCTATTTTACAGTGTTTTCGAACAGGTGGCCAATCCAATTATATGAGAAAAATAAGTTATAATATTTAAAGAAATGCCAAAATTACTTTTATTTGTAAGTGGTTATATACCTAGGAAATCCATGAGAACCAAATAATAATAAAATATTAAGGCCAGGCGCAGTGGTTCATGCCTATAATCCCAGCATTTTGGGAGGCTGAGGTGGGCAGATCACCTGAGGTCAGGAGTTCAAGACCAGCTTGGTCAACATGGCGAAACCCCATCTCTTCTAAAAATACAAAAATTAGCCTGGCTTGGTGGTGCACACCTGTAGTCCCAGCTACTACTCGGGAGGCCAAAGCATGAGAATTGCTTGATCCTGGGAGGTGGAGGTTGCAGTGAGCCAAGGTTGCACCAGAGTACTCCAGCCTGGTGACAGACCAAGACTCTGTCTCGAAAATAATAAAAATAATAATAATAGGCCGGGCGCAGTGGCTCACACCTGTAATCCCAGCACTTTGGAAGGCCAAGTCAGGTAGATCACCTGAGGTCGGGAATTCCAGACTAGCCTGACAACATGGAGAAACCCCATCTCTACTTAAAATACAAAATTAGTCAGGCGTAGTGGTGCATGCCTGTAATCCCAGCTACTTGGGAGGCTGAGGCGGGAGAATCGCTTGAACTCACGAGGCGGAGGTTGTGGTGAGCCAAGATTGCACCATTGCACTCCAGCCTGGGCAACAAGAGCGAAACTCTGTCTCAAAATAATACTAATAATACTACTACTAATAATAAATAAAGTGTTAAAAGTGTAAAATAAAATTCAGTAAAGTGAAAGGAAATATTAAAATAAAAAATAACTTTCTTTTATACAAATAATAGTGAGTTAGGACAATAATAATTAACAAGAATAAATAAAATGTATCATTCAGCAAATGAATAAAAGCTGCATTTAAACCACACTTGTCAAAGTAAAAAATAATGTAAAAAAGACATATTGCCTTGGATAGGAAGACTCAGTATTGTAAAGATGTCAATTCTCCCTAAATTAGTCAATATGCAATTTTTTAACTCGACAAAATGATACTAATCCTCAACTAAAAAATGAAAGTGAGACAGATAAGAAAAATTCTGAGAAAAAAATAATGAGAGTGGATGAGCTCTTCCGGCTGTTAAAATGTATGATAAGCTCCTGAACCTTGGCCTTAGCAATGATTTTTTGGCTATCATATCAAAAGCCCAGGCCACAAAGGCAAAAATGAATAAATGGGACTACACCAAGCTGAAAAGCTGCTGCATAGCAAACAAGCAACAAAATGAAATGGCAACCTATGGATTGGAAAAAATATTTGCAAACTATATATCTAATAAGATACATAAAATTGATAAAGAACTCATACAACTCAATAGCAGGAAAACAAATGATCCCATTTAAAAACAGGCAAACATCTGAAAAGACATTTCTCCAAGAAGAAAAATGGCCAAGATGGATATGAAAAGGTATTCAACATCACTAATCATAAGGGAAATGAAAATTGAAACCATTATGAGATACTAGATAATACCAGGATGACTATTAAAAAAAAGTCAAAAAATAGTAATAATAAATGTGGATAAGGGTGAAGAGAACAGAGAACCTTTGTGCATTGTTGGTGAGACTGTATAGCCATTGTGGAAAACAGTATGGAGCTTTCTAAATAAACTGAAAATAGAGCTACATATGACCCAACAATCCCTCTTTAGGGGATATACCCAAAGAAAATGAGATAACCACCTTGTATAGATATCTGCGATCCTATGTTCATTGTAGTATTGCAGCTAATACAGGGAAACAACCTAAATGCTTGTTGAAAAATGAATGGAGAAAGAAATTGATATATATATGTATAATATATATATAATATTCCATCATATATATATATACACATATATATGAGGATTAAAGAAATACCAAAATTACTTTTATTTGTAAGTGATTATACACCTAGGAAATCCATGAGAACCAAATAATAATAAAATATATTAAATATAAGATTAAAACCATAATATATATATATATATATATATCATGGAATATTATTCATCCCAAAAAGAATATCTTGCCATTTGCCACAGCATGGATGAAACTGGAGGACATTAAGTGAAATAAGGCAGACACAGAAAGAAAAGTATTACATGATTTCACTCATATGGGGAATCTAAAGAAAACATTCAAATACAGGTATACAGAGATAACAAAACCTGAGGTGGAGGGTGGAGAGATGTAGGTCAGAGGATACAAAGCAGCAGACAGGAGGGCTAGGCGCAGTAGCTCAGTCCTGTAATCCCAGGATTTTGGGAGGCAGAGGTGGGCGGATTGCTTGAGCCCAGGAGTTTGAGACCAGCCTGGGCAACATGACAAAACCCCATCTCTGCGAACAGCAACAACAAAACACACACACACACACACACACACACACACACACACACACACACACAATTAGCGAGGCCTGGTGGTGCCCGCCTGCAGTCCCAGCTACTCAGGAGGATGGATTGAGCCTGGGAGGTCGAGGCTGCAGTGAGCAGTGATTTGATAGTGCCACTGCACTCCAGCCTGGGGACAGGAGACCCCGCCTCAAACAAAACAAAACCGAGTAGCAGATATGTATGATGAACATGCCTAGAGATCTAATGTACAACATAAGGACCCCAGTATAGGTAATAAATTCTACTTTATTTGGGATTCCTTGCTTCACTGTAGTAATCTTTTTTTATTTATTTTATTTATTTATTTATTTTTTTGAGACGGAGTCTCTCTCTCTGTCGCCCAGGCTGGAGTGCAGTGGTGCGATCTCCACTCACAGCAAGCTCCGCCTCCCGGGTTCACTCCATTCTCCTGCCTCAGCCTCCCGTGTAGCTGGGACTACAGGCGCCCGCCACCTTGCCCGGCTAATTTTTGTATTTTTAGTAGAGACAGGGTTTCACCGTGTTAGCCAGGATGGTCTCGATCTCCTGACCTCGTGATCCGCCCGTCTCGGCCTCCCAAAGTGCTGGGATTACAGGCGTGAGCGACCGCACCCAGCCGATCTTTTTTTATTTTTAACTACATATGTATCTCATAACATGTTGTATACCTTAAATATACTCAACAAAGCTTATTTTAAAAAATGAAATGTATAATGATGACTGGAAAGGGTGGTAGTCACATGGAAATAATGAAGCAGAATAAAAGTTCAGATATTAAATACAAATGAGAATTTAGTACATGATAAAGCCGGCATTATACTCTGCGGGGATAGACAGGCTACTCATTAAAGTGTTTAGAAGCAAAGTGGCTGAAAATTTTGGCACAGAAGAAAATCTCGTGGACCTCTAACTCACTGGTTAAAGTAAAAACTTTCAAAACGTATTAAAGGTTTAAATATAAAATTAAAACCATAAAAACATTATTATATTAACATATTTCTTATATAGTAAGTACTTGGGAAGATTTTCTAACATTCCACAAACCTAGTAGCAATTAAGGAAAATATTAATTTCAGATCATACAAAATTCGGAAGTCCTGTAAGACAAAAACAAATACAATGTGAAGATTTTTAAGAAAGAACAAAGGGCTAATCCATATTTTGAAATCAGTATAAAAAGATGAGCAGAATTTGAGAAGGGAGCGCGACCAGCTCTGCGGCGCCCTCCAGGCCCTCCGCCCTATAGAACCCAGAGCCCTGGCCGTGGCTGCCCCGCCGGGCCCATTTCCTGAAGCAGCGGCGAACCGCTCTTCCCCACCCGACCGGCCGGCTGCCGGGTCTCCCCACCCAACCTTGCCAGGCTCAGACGAAGCTTCCGCCGAGCCGCCTGGACGCAGCGCCCTGGGTGGCAGCAGGTGTGGCAGGGCGGGAAGCAGGGAGGCGGCCCCAACGCCGCGGAGGCCACTAGGGGGTGCGGTGGGCCAGGAAAGCGGGTCTACGCGCAGGCTCAGCTGCCCCTGTAGGCCGTGGAGTCGCGCAGATCCGGATACTCGGGTGGCCGCAGTGTCCCAAGTGGGCGACACTCACCTAGTCCCGAGGACAACCGACAAAGTCCTTAATGGGCCCAGAAGGTGAGGGGAGTCTGGCAATGAGGGGTGGAAGGGTTAGCGGCCATCGCCCAGCTGGTTTTCCTTCTACCAGACGCTGGTGCCGGAAAACAGAAGTGGAAGAATAACTTGGCGCCATTAGGCCCATCGGAAAGGCCCAGCAACCTTTGGGACGATTATTGGCTGTTTATAGAAGGCCCGTGTGTATCCTATGAAAAAGCTGCTCTCAGCTTCCCCCCAGCCTTTTAGAAGAAAACATTTGCTACATCGAGCCCTTCTAGGTGTAAAGAGGTTGCGACTTATGAGAGTTAGAGAATCACACATCTTGTAAATTTCCATTTGTTAAAAATAATAATAACAGAACATAAATGGTTTCTGGAGATGACTTTTTGCAATGAGGTTGTTAGACCACCTCTGGAAGTGACAGCAGGAGCCACACATCCACATTTATTAAGTGGGTTAGAGCAGGAGTCCCTAACCCCTGGATCTAGGTTACATGCTCCTTATGAGACTCTAATAATGCCTGATGATCTGAGTGGAACAGTTTCATCCTGAAACCATGCCCCTACCTTCCATGGAAAATTTGCCTTCCCTGAAACCAGTCCCTGGTGCCAAAGAGTTTGGGGACCACTGGGTTAGGGGATATGGGGCAGAAGACCTGAGAAGGAAGATAGGACAGTTCTGTGCCACACTGGTCATATTTAGAAGACATTTTCATATTCCAACCATTGTTCTGTGTGTGCATTTTATTTCTCACTACTGTATATGTAGATGACAATATTAAGTATTTTTTGAACTATACTCTTTCTAGATGTTCTGAAATGCCTATGTTAAAATTAGAGGTAGTAAAATAACATATTTTGTAAATCTTTTTGTTAAAATTCATATGTAATGTTGTTTTGGTGGTGGTGGGGGGGGGGGGATGGCCAAACCACCTGTTAATATTTTTAAATTAGGACTCATTTGTCCAGTATATAACACAATCTATAGTATAGCAAAGTTACATGCAATGCATTTAACATATAGGGCAATGGATAAACTGAAATTTTCTAGTATACAATAGCAAAACACCTTTTGTAAGCCCAAAGACGTTTGGGCTTACCAAATGTTGCATGGAGGTACGCCCAAAGTGCACCTGTGTGCACTGGTTCAGGGGAGGAGAGAGGAAAGGAAGTGCCAATGTGCTTATAGTGAGGCAAGGTTAAACATTGTCTCATGTCTGGGCATTTTGTTTTACTTATCTGGGTATATTGTGTATATAAAGGACAAATGAGTCCTGACTTTACAACATCTAGTCTTTCTAGATGTTAAAGAGGTTGCCAGTGTATGACAAAAGTAGAGTTAGTAAACTAATATATTTTGTGCATTTCGTTTTATCATTCCCAGGAAAGACTGTCTTCTGAAAATTTGAGCATTATTGCTCAGTGGGTTGACGGAGATGGGAAGGTGTAGCCCAGAATGTTCATATTTGGAAGAGTCAGTCATAACTGTTTTTACATGTGTTCACTTTATTCAAGACTTCTGTGCATATAGTGGACAAATTAACTTCTTACCTGAAACATCTTGTCTATGTAGATGTTCAGAATTGCCTGACATATGTTAAGTGTAGAGGTAGTAAAATATCACCTTGTAAATATCTTTTTGCTAAAATTCTTAGGGAATACTGTCTTTTGGAAGTGGAATTGTGAAGCCACCTCTGTGAGCAGTGTAGTACTGTCTATACTTGTTTAATGGTTTAGAAATGGGAGGGAAGAAATCGCCAAAGGTAATAGGCTAGTGTGTTCATACTTGGACATTTCACTCGCCATTTTTCTGTATGTTTTGTGCATTTTGTTTTGCTGTGTGTGTAAAGTACATAATGGACAAATGAGTCCTAATTTTGCAACATTTGGTCTCTAGATGTTTAAGAAGTTGCCAGTGTATGACAAAGTATCTAGTAAAATTAGCACATTTTGTACACTTTGTGTTGAAATTCATAGGAAGGCTTGTCTTCTGTAAATGATTTTTGGGTATTAATTTGTTCAGCCATCTCTAAGCATTACAAATGCCTGTACCTGTCCACCGGATTGAAGACAGAGAGAAGGAAATGAGGAAGGACTGGTTCAAGGTCAAAATTGTCATATTTAGAAGATACCTCAGATTATAGCCATTGTTACATATGCAATTTTATTTTACGATGCTATGTACACAGTGGAAAGTTATATGAAATATCTGGTCTTTCTAGATAGTTAGAAATGCTTGATATATTTAAAAGTAGAAATAGTATAATAACACTTTTTGTAAATAGCTTTTAAAAACTGATGGGAAATACTGTGTTTGAAAGTGGGGTTGTTAAATCACCTCTGTGAACAATGTTACTTGCTCATTCAGTTGAGGAAGGTGAGAGGGAAGAAATTACAAAAGGTGTTTTGCTATTGTGTACTAGAAAATTTCAGTTTATCCATTGCCCTATATGTTAAATGCATTGCATGTAACTTTGCTATACTATAGATTGTGTTATATACTGGACAAATGAGTCCTAATTTAAAAATATCCACTCTCTAGATATTAAAGAGGTGGCCAATGTATGACAAAAATAGTAAACTAACACATTTTGTACACTTTGTGTTAAAGTTTATAAAAAGACTATCTTATGAAAAGGACTTTTGAAAGTGAAATAACATCAACTCTAAGTGACACATGGCCCATATCCACCAGGTTGGTGGTGCAGAGGAGTTGGAAGAAATGAAGGATTCTAGATCAGAATGTTCCTATTTAGAAAACACTTCAAGATACAACCATGTGTGTAGTTCATTCAACCCTACTGAGGCAGGAGAATAGGGTCTGGAGGCAGGAAACATAAAGCAGATTCATGTTGACTTCCTAGAACTAAATGAAATGGAAACACATCAGCTATCAGAGGAAATATACTTTCCATTTACATTGGGCATACACAGAGTAAATGACTGTTTTATTTCATCCTGTCTGTTTACATAGGGCGTATACCAAGTAAACGACTTTGTAACTTTATTTCATCCTCTTCATTTACATCGGGTGTATACCAAGTAACCAATGAAACCTTGAAAGCGTATTTAAACCCCGGAAAATTCTGTAACTGGACTCTTGAGCCCCTAAGTGCAGGCCTTCTCCCACCCTGTGGAACATACTTTCATTTCATAAATCTCTGCTTTTGTTGCTTCATTCTTTCTTTGCTTTGTGTGTTTTGTCCAATTCTTGGTTCAGTATGCCCAGAACCTGGACACCCTCCACTGGTAACGTATTTTGGCAAGCCAGCCAGGAGGTAAGCCCAAAGTTTGGGATTTTTCATCTTTTCCTTTCCACTCTATACAGGAGAATCTCTCCCTCCCTCTCTCTTTTCCTTTCCAACTCAGGACCCTTGGTGGGCAGCACCTAAACACGAAGGCAACTGTAGGTTTCTGGATGGGGCCACCCTGAAGGACTTTTTTCTGTCTGTTCTGGTTGTGATCCCTGATTCCTACGTGTGGCGCAGCTCATGGCAAACTTGCAGCTCAGGGCAAACTTGCAGCTCAGGGCGAACTTGCACGTTTCAGGCGACGGAAACCTTCTTTTCTATGCTAACTTCTTCCCTTACCCTACTTGACTGGCTAAGGACAAAAGAAGCCTACCCAGCTTCCAGCTCCTGTCATTACAGTTCATGGCTATCACTCTAGTGGAACAGGAAGCATGGGATAGCGTGGCCTTATCAAATGATAAAGATGCTAAACATTAGTGATTACACCCAGGAACCAAAGGAAAGCTCACAATAGGCCATTGCCTCTGGAGGGAAAACATGCAAAGCGGCACTAGTGCCCACCTAAGGTCAGAGATGCCTGACACTCTTAAGACTGGACCCCAAAGGGGGATTCCCCAGGGGATCCTCCAGACCTCAGCCTCTCCAAATGGGATGCCCTTGGCAGCAGTTCTAAGGACTAGTACTAAACCCTCCTTTGAATTTTCTCTTGCAGTTGCAATACTGTTTGGCCCCAGTATGGTTTGGAATCTGGCATTTGCTGTTGAATGGGAAAGTGGGATGCAGTTGCATGTATACAGGCTTTGGTGCTGCTGTTCTAAGCAGGGGCAGGCCTAGTTAGTATGTGATATTCTCCTTTGGTGCTGTTTGACCCCAGTGTTCTTTCGAGTCTGGGGAGGTTTGGCCTTTAAAAAATCAAACTGCCATGGAAATTGCTTTACCTGACATAATGGTTCACAGCCTTCATTGGATTACTTCTTGGGTAAACAGAGCAAAATTGGCAAGCTTGTATTGCTATTTCATGGTTAGGGTTCCAAGGTAAAAGCTATTGAATCTTCATTTGTGTGTGTATATACATGTCTAGATGTGTTTATTTGTATGCACACTTGTTATATGTTATGTCTTGGCTTATAAATAAGAGAGCACTCATAAATGAAGTAAATAAGTCTAAGCAATTTTCAAGTTCATGTGACTTAAGTATAACTTTCCTAAACAAGCTAGTTTTAAAATTACTGGTAAAGTAAAAATAGAAATGCCTTCAAAATTGTCAGTATACATTTTTGTCTGGATTTTATATTTGTCTCTTCTAGATATTTTGAGGTGTTAGGGTTTGGCATAGAGGGTTCTAAAACTATAAACCCAGCCAAAACAAAATGATCTTGGTTTGTGTGTCTTTTTTTTTTTTTTTGGACAAATGGGCATAATTTAATGTTAGCTAAATCTTCTGGGTAACTGGCAAAAATACCTATGTATTTAACTTTGAGGCTCTTACTTAGGTTTTGGTGAGCACCTAATATTCACTGGCTATTCAAAACGTGGTTAACAAGGAAATAACTGACTTTAAATGATAGTGTCTAATATCTCAGTTTACAGAGGTAATCTAGATAAACTGTTAAAAGTGAAAGAATTGAGTACAGCAAATGGGACAAATGTTTTAGGTTTTGTGTAAAGTCTTAAAATTATTTCTGATACTCATTTAATATCTGGGTCATTTCCAATTAAGAAAGGTTGTGATATGGGGAAATACGTTTCTAAAATTGTGGAATTGTTCTTA